GTGGTTTATTGGAGATAGGAGTCTCATGGTCTCTCCCGCCCGGGCTGGCTTTGAACCTCGATCCTCAGATCTCAGCCTCCTGAGTAGCTAGGATTACAGGCGTGAGCCACCAGCGCCCGGCAAGAGTTTTTCTACATTATACTCCAACACAAAAGTGTTGCATGTAATATTTTTTGTACAGGTTCTCTAGAATAAAGTTCTTGTTTTTTGGGAGACAGCAGTCATTATGTAGCTCAGACTAACCTCAAACTTGGAATCTTCACTCTGCTTTCTGAGTGCTAAGATTGTAGGAATGTAATATCACAGAAAGTTAGAAATATAATTACATGGATTCTTACATAAGTCTTGGTTAGTCCTTGGGCTGGCATTCTACCACTTGAGTTAGAGCACCACTCCTGGCCTTTTCTGCTTATGTGGTGCTAAGTAATCAAACCAAGGGTCTCATGCATGCAAGGTGAGCACTCTACCACTGAACCATCTTCCCAGCCCATCATGTTTCTTTTAATCATTGAAAACATTAGTGATTCAAATCCTACTAAATGTGAGTACAAAAGATATTGCCTTGTAAACCACTCAAAATACCTTCTAAGTATATGATGACCTAATGAAGCCAAAGTAGAAGGAAGTTGATTACCTTTCTTCTTTCAATCTAACTCCATCTAAGTGTTCATTCTGCCAGTGCTGTATGTTTTCCTCCCTTTTTCACTACTGTGACTCTTCCTCAGAGATTTGGATGACAGTATCTCATGACAACATGAAGTCTCTGTTCTGTGGTGTATTAAAAATAAGCTAGGCAGGTTGCCAATGACTCATGCCTGTAATTCTAGCTACTCAGGAGGCTGAGATCTGAGGAACTGAGTCTGAAGCCAGCCCAAGCAGGACAGTTTGTGTGACTCTCTCCGCTAACTACCAAAAACGCCCAAAGTGAAGCTGTGGATCCAAGTGGTAGAGTGCTAGCCTAGAGCAAAAGAAGCTCACGAACAGCAACCAGGCCTTATACCAAACAAACAGAAAAATCCAGAAGCTTGGGATATAGCTCAGAGATAAGGCACCAGCTTAGGACTTAAGGCACTAGCTTGACTGATAACCTGTATCAAGTAAAACTCAACAATGAACAAAGACAAAATAAAATACCACAAACTAGGTCAGGATTCTTAGCTGTAATCTCAGCTACTCAGGAGGCAGTAGAACTGAGGTTCAAAGCCAGCCTGGGCAAAGTTAGCATGAGACCCTAACCAGAAAACAAACAGAGGGGGGGCTGGGGGAGGGCAGTTGGGGGGAAGAAAAAACAAAAGAATACTTGCAGGGGCGGGAGGGGGGGAGGGCAGAGATGGGAATGGGGAAGGGGAAACAAAGGAGGAGGCTACAATGCTTGATAAGAAATGTACTCATTATCTTGTCCATGTAATTGTAACCCCTCTGTATAGTATTTTCACAATAAAAAAAAAGAATACTTGCCTAGTTAATAAAAAATTTGTAGAAATATTTTGATATTACCAACAATAGTGATGTTCTTCCATGGACAATATGGTCTAATAAAACAATTTATTATGTAAAATCAATACAAAAGCAAATCAGTATCTAAGTATACAGAATGAACACACCTTTGTTTTCGAGGAAGCTCCTTGAGTTTTGGCTTTCTTTGGATCAGGCTTGGTTTCTATGGTGCTAGAAACAGATTCTTCAACAGGTGCTTTGAGAAAAAGCATGTAATATGTTAGTTAAATTTTAACTAACATTACTTTATTCTGGGTACATTAAACATAAAATGAAAGCTCAGTCCGAATTTTTTTTCAGTTATTTTCTCTGTAAGTTTCTCTGTTTTTCCAGTTCTGGGGCTTGAACTCAGGGCCTGGGCACTGTCCCTGAGCTTCTTTTGTTCAAGGCTAGCACTTGAATCACAGGGCCATTTCTAGCTTTTTCTGTTTATATGGTACTGAGAAATCAAACCCAGGGCAAGCACTCTACCACTAAGCCACATTCCCAGTCCCTATGATAGACTTCTTGATATGACAAAAAGAAAAAGGAAATTATTTTCCTTAAAAAGACAATTAAGAGGCCAGGCACTTGTGGTTCACACCTGTAATCCTAGCTATTCCGGAGGCTGAGATCTGATGATTACGGTTCAAAGCCAGCCCTGGCAGGAAAGTCCAAGAGACTCTTATCTCCAATTAACCACCAGAAAACCAGAAGTGGCCCTGTAATATGATAGAGTGCTTGCCTTGAGCTAAAGAGCTGAGGGACAGCATCCAGGCCTAGAGTTCAAGCCCCATGGAAAAAAAAAAAAGTTTTTCAGTGGTAGAGTGCAAACCTATCAGGACCTTCGTTCAATCCCCAGTGCCAATCTCTTTCCATTTCCTGTCCCCCCCAAAAAGAGAAAGATTAGTAAATAGTAGACTGATCAAGTGTAGCAGAAGGAGACATTTGTGATTAAGTAGCATTTAAATCTGGTGATTAGCTGTTTGGCCTTGTGCAAGTAATTAACTTTGGGTTCCTCATCTGTTAGTGAAGAGGATTAAGCTGGATGGACCTATTCTTCTAACTGGGGTATATAATAGCAGAAAATAGTTGTAGAAACAAACAGTTTGGAACACTTCCACATTAGAGTATTTCAACATGCTACACCCAAACACCATTTTTGGACTTGGAAACAAAACAGTCATCTTATACTTGCATGTTCTTAATCCATGAAAGTTGGATATCATATTAAGGGTCCTTGGGTTATCTCCTTCTCTCTTTTTTTTTTTT